ATAATTTTAAATTATTATTATTTTAGATTAGTACTGCTAAACCTGTTGAAGAGATCTTGAAATAAAATAAGTTGAATGATTCAAATATTAGTGGTAAAATATAAGAATTTTTAAATATAATATATAAATGAGCAAGCATCGTCATTCTAAAGATATGACTTTTAGTGAACATATGCTTGAAAGAGGAGGTAAGAAGGACAATAAGGGAACTTCTCTTACTAGAAGACCTTTTGATCATCGTTCTTTATCACTTGAACCTTTTAAGAATCCTCTTTGTACATTTGAAGGTCATTGTATTTGATATTGTGAACATTGTGCCATTTATCAGAAAATATAAAAGAAATCCAATAAATGGACAACCTCTTTAGACTACTTACCTAATTTAATTTAATTGAAATTTCATTATCATAATAAAGTACAATATTATGATCCAATAAGTTTTAAGGTGCTTACAGATCATACAAAGTTGGTAAGAATAAAGGGAAGTGGAAATGTATACATCTGACACAATAAAAGAATTAAATCGTAACCCTAAATTTTGGAAGGATATAATAAATGGTGAAGCTTTTACCTATAAAGATATAATCGTATTGCAAGATCCAAAAAATATAGAATCAAGAACAATAAAAAATTTTGATATTTTGAAAAACAACCATAAATTGGATTAATAAACAGAAGATGATGTATATAAGTTTAAATTATAGTGGAAAAAGAATAATGGAATTGGCATAAGAATAAAATATACACAGACAAAAAGAGGAAAAGAAAGAGAAAAATAATCATTTGAGAAATTGAGTAATTAAAAAAAAGGTAAAAGAATAAAACTAATTAAGTGTAAAAGAATTTTTAGAATTATCTTCAGGTGATTTTTTATCTGAAAAATATGCAACTGAACATCATTATGTTAGTTTCACAAGTACTTAGATGACATTAAAAACTAAACCATTAGGATAAATTTAATATAGAAATATGAATGAAGATGAAATCAGAAAACTATTATATGATAGAATACGTAAATCAGGATAAAAAGTTTATGTACAATTAATTAACAATTATGGTAACATTATTTTCGAATTACATTGTGATCTGGTGCTAATGACAGGTGAAAATTTCTAGAATTATGCGAAAAAGGTTATTATAATTAAACAAAATTTAATAATTTGATTGAAAATGAATTATTAGAAGGTGGTGATCCAAATGCAACAGGTTATGGTGGGGAATCAATATATGGAAAACCATTTAGAATTGAAATAAATAATATATTATCTCATAGCAAAACTGGAATTGTTTCTATGGGTAATCTTGGAGCGAATCACTAAACATCACATTTGTAAATAATATTTTTAATTTTATCTAGTTTTATCACTTTGGCTGAATGTAAAAAATATGATGGTAAATATGCAGTTTTTGGAGAGGTGGTTGGAGGATATTAAATATTATATTAAATTAATAAATTACCTACTAATATGTGGTAAAGATCAGAAGTCATAATAAAATTATAATGAAAAAGAGATAAGTTAAGTATAAAAGAATTAAAAGTTATTAAGAATCCTTTTAGATATATGATAAAAATTACGCTTTAAGAAAAAGAAGTTGAGAAGGAATAGAAGTTATAGGATAAAGAGATAGAAATGATAATTAAAATATTTATATACATTTTACATAATATATTACCCATATGATGTATGTTATTACTTGTTAATTTCTGATTGGTACTTAATAAATTATATAAATTATTATTATAGAATTTAATTACTGCTTAATGTTATTTCAATTCTTTTAACTAAGTCATCTTCAAATCATTAGATCTAATCACATCATCTCTATAAAAACTAGAATAATGTTGATTATTATCTAATAATGAATTCTTTGAAACCACTTATCTTGATAATATCATTGGTTATTAAATATTTACTTTTTTATTTATTTGTAATTTTGCCTTCATATTTTTTAATTCATGCAATCTTTATTATCTATTTTGGATCTCTAATTATAATTCATAATTTTTCAAAATTTTATCACAGAATTCGATCCACTTTCCAAATCTGTCAGTTGGTTAAGTAGATCTTAGGTATGCAAATTGTAATTCACTCCTTTTAAAATATTCTCTTCTACCTTTTCTGATTTTAATCGAAAAAACTTTATCTTGATTTTGTTTCCTCTGTTGTATATTTCATTATGAGAATGAATGGCATTAATTTACTACAAATTTTAATGTTTCTTATTTGTATCTAAAAAATAAGAATTTTCTATATTTAAAATCATACCTGGAGAAGGTGGTATATTTTAAAAATAGGTTAACCTCCTGGATGCCTCTAATTAATGTTAAAGTTGTTTTTTTTCTTAATAGGCCTTTTTGGTTTCTATTTTAGATTTTTATTTAATATATATCACTTTCTCTGATAATTCTGTTATTATGGTAATTTATTCAGCAATTAATTTATCTAGATTTTTAAAATGCTTAAATAATTTTTAAGCTCTATCTTCATTAACAGAATTTCTATACGATATTCATTTGTTTCATTTCTAATTAGACAATTGATAAATTTTCTTATTATTTTTTTAATTCATCTTGAAGCCAATTAGTAATTTCTAAAGTTTTTTATGTTTCACTATTTACTTCATCAAGATACATATTCTATCTTATTGTTGAATAATCTTTCAATCTATTTTTTAACTAACTAATGTTAGTCAATTATGAAGTTACTACTAATACATAATCTAGTCTAATTTTTTATAGAATTAAATTTTCTATAAACTAGGCAATGAAATCTTTTTGATACTCCTCTCTGTTTTATTGTGTTCAGCTCTGGTTTTAAAATATTTATATTTCTTGTTGTATATAAAGGACAAAACTATCTCAATCTGATGTTTGAATTGATAGAGGGAAGTTTAGAAGCTGAAATACGTAAATAATAAGGCAATTACAATTATCATCTATTTGGTTTGTTTGGCTATCAAAGCTAATTTTATAGCTTTCTAACTATTTGTAACTCTTCAGACATCGGAATATTATTTGTATTATAATAGTCCATTAATTTTGAATAATTGTTTTTTAAGTCAATGCCAACCAAGGAAATTAAACCCATATCCATCTTTTGTAATAATAATTTTATTAATTTCTTGTATTTGTTATTATTTTATCTAAAATTTATTCATATATTCTTAAACTAGATTTTAATCAAATTAGCTTATGTAATAATTTATAAAATAATCTCTATTAGCTTTGATAACCATATTTAAACTTTCAATATTACCTTATTATTAAGGAGAATAATCTTTATTCATTAACTTAGTTTTCTTTTTAGCTATTTCAATCGATTATCCTCTTAATTCTGGATGTTTGTAAGGGGGAGTATGATCACTTGTATAATTTAGATATAAATAAAATACTTTTCAAAATTACTAAATCTACAAATTTATAACATTATATAAAATAAACCTTCATTTGTAGGTTTAGAAAGAGCTTAAAAATTTTCTATATTCCATAACCAAATCATAACCATTCTGTTCCCATAAGTGACATAATTCAAATTTGTGATTTGGTCTCCAAATCATTAGAAAATTCTCAACATTTATTAAGACCTCCCTTAATTTAAAATATCTTTTTGTTCTTGTATATTAATATATTAATTCCTTTAATTTTCTTATGTTATTCTAAGAGTGTTCCATTGTTGTAATAAATTAATGATACAATTACTTGTTAGATGGTAAGTATTGAATTAATGCATTTTTAAATTGTATACTTTAAATACAATAAATCTATAATTTCTTCATCAAAAATATTTTAAATATGTTCTTTATCACAATTACATATATTAACAATGTCATCTAATGAAATTCCTTTAAAAACCAATGCAAGCACGCTTAAAATTGAAATATAATGAGCATCAGGAGATTATTTCAAAAATGACCTTCTCAAAATATTAAAGAAATCACTTTCACTCTTGATATCTAATATTTAAAATATATTAATTTTACTTTCCATTTAGAAAATAGATTCTTTGATTACATAGAAATCTTCATTTTTATTAGTTAATGTAATTTCAAAAGCTTTACAAAAATTGCTTAATCAACCAAATTTTAAGGTATTTTAAGATGAAGTTTCTAAATTATAAATAATAGTAGTATACATATAGACGATCCTAAAGTAGTAAACGATCTAAAAATTCTTCTTTTGTATGGTCTCTATAAATTTAAATAAATAGAGTCTTACATTTAAATAATTGTTCCCCCTTAACTTATATATTATTCATATATATTTAGATTTTGTTTATTATTCTAAGCCTTTGATGTTGCTCATTTTAAATTTAAATTATATAAACATTACTTTACCATTAATTAAAAAAATAACATTATGAGCAGTTCAGAAATATAATCAGATTCAGAAGGTATTATCTATTGATTACATTTATTTTAATTAAGAAATTTAGGAAAATATTTTTTATTACAAAATTACTAATAAAAAGTCGAAATGACTTTAAAACAAGTAACTCTTTTTCATTATCATAATCTAAAATTAATGTTTTTTATTTATTTTAATTAAATTTGATTCAAAAGCACAATGTACTGTAGTTAATGGATTATCTCCAAAAATTATCCTTAAATCTAAGTTACATTATTATGATGTATCATTCTTTAAATTATTTCTCAAAGTAAATATACACTAAAATTTAATTAACTTTCTAAGATATCTCTCTAGAAATGAATTTAATCTTAATTTAATAATTTATATGATAAGCCAATCACTCTTAAACCTTCATAAGTAAATTTTTAAAGTTATTATTCTAAAATAGATTTATCAAATTTCTTATTTGATAATTCAATTATTTTTTGAGGTGAACCTTTTGCAAATAAATAATATTAATTATCTTTCTCATTTAATGCTATTACGCTCATTCTTTATAAATGAGAATTTAATTCAAATATTTTTATCACTTAAAAAGATTTTTTGTATTTTTGAACTTTAAAATACTTTTAATTATCAAAATAGATTTTCCAATCACTTTATTTAAACATCTCTAATTCCATAGGATCTCCCTCTAATTCTTAATAAATTATTGTGAAGTGATGATAACAATCCATAATTTCTAATAAAGAATCTTGGTGTGGATAATAATCTTTTGCATATAATTCTAATGTAGAAAATGTTCCAGTTTTATCAAAGAATACTGTATCAACTTTACCTGGATCTTCAGTTTTTACTGGATTAGATCGGACAATATTTTTAATTTATTAAAGATATAGTCTAATTTAATGAAAAAAAGATAGGTATAATCCATGTAATAGCATCAAGGTATCTTCCAATCAAGAGTTTAATTGAATAATGCATTGAGTAATATTTTAAAGATAGTAATATACTAAAAATAGATAAAATAACGAGACCCAAAACCAATAAAATTTGCAAGCTTATATAAAACACTCTTGATGAAGGAGAAGGAAATAATACATTTCTAAAGTATTATCCTCTCATTGAAGCATAACCAGTTCTTATTACTAAACCGATGTTTTTTTAATGTTGAGATATCTTAATAACTTTAGTACAATAAATTAATAATTGATGGATTAATACCTTCAAAAAGCGTATATTTATCATTTGATAACTCTTAAATAGATTGTTTTGGAATAGGCATTAAAATTTCTTAATAAATTCTCAATTTA